TATATGAACATCAAAATTTCATAATAATTATAACCCAATACTTTTAATCAATAGGAATTGTTCAATCAACAGCTGTCGATTAAATCACAAATAGGTATACAAGAACAATATTGGAGGGAAAGCATTTACAAGTTTAAACGATCAATAAATAATCATTCGGTAACAATAATAAATAAAACGCATAGCTTCTTTATTTCAATAGTCCACTTGACATTGAAGGAGAATGTAGGTACTCACTCTGTCTCAAGAAGTAGGTTTTCACGTACTTATATATCCGGAAGGGATGAAATTCCACGAGTCTTCCTAAAATTGCAGACACGACCAGACCGAAATTACTTAAGAAAATTGTCCTCAACCCCGCTAGTTAGTGGTGTAACTCGCATCGAATTTCTTATCAAATGAACATCGGCTCTCAAGGTAGACAATCGGACAACGACGTAGCAGGCAGTGAACGATCAAGATATAGATGAAGCCAAATTTGCTGGATAAAGTTGAATTGATTGAAATTAACGTCAACTCAACTGAATCTGATTCTTCTTGATTTTATTCCTTCTTTTAGGCCTTAGCTTCTTTTTAGGCCTTTGAAGTTAAATAGGTACACTAAGTGTAAAATTTATTTTATCGAGCAGCACCGACCCTTTCTCTGCTCGATGTTTGTTCACTCAAGCCTCGCACTCGCTTCAATCGTCCTCTGTCCACCTGCACGCCATTTCAATTGAACTATCGAAATGTACATACAGGTTGTCCCAGTATCTCATAAATGAACTGTTACACACCCCCTCTGTGTGGATAAAAAAATTTGTAAGGCCACTGAAAAAATTTTTTTAGGGCTACAATCATAGCTATCATACATGACAGACCTCCAATTCAAGAATAAATACTACTACACATGACAATGAATCAGGGCAAAAATATACACAGGGAAAATATACACAGGGAAAATATCCGGATATTTGAATTAAATTCACGAAACATATTTTTAAAAAATTAATAGGGACATGGTCCTTCCTTAGGGGTACCTACGGACCTTATGGTAAACTGGAAAACGTGTTCAAGATCGTATGAGTTCCGTATACAAGTCAGATTAGTTCAATAACTCCCACATTCATGCCTCACCACACATCCGTCGCCAATCGTTGCCTCATTCACTTCCTTAGTCACTCGATCAAACTTCTTCCGACTTTCTATAGGGCTTCAGATCCTTCACATGAAACTTTCCAATATTCTTTCCATTTGGTCCTATTAAATCATACACCAATTTTGACACGACCCTTTTTACAGTACAAAGAGTATACCTAGGTGCCAATTTAGAAGCAATGTGATCTGCTTTATTGGATAAAACGAAATTTTTTTTCCACACTTTATCACCCACGTGGTAAACATCAGCAGGACGCTTCCGGAGGTTGTACTGCCTACTATTTTTCTTGTACGCTTCAGACAACGCTATACGAACATCATAATATATTTGAGGAAGTTTATCAATTTCTAAGCCATACTCTTTTCTGTTAAGAGTGCTTAGATCCATGTCTCTAACAGATTGAAGACGTTCGTAATATTCTCCATCCGTCGGAACATAACGTCCAAAATTCAAAAAGGTGGGAGAATAACCAGTGGCTTCGTGAACGGCCGTTCTAAAAGCAAAATCTATTTTTTGTAATTCTTTATCCCAAGTTCGATGATCAGACTCATCCAAATAAGACCGAATGGCTGTTTCAAGAACCCGGTTAATACGCTCTACCGCGTTTGTTTGAGCATGATAATTAGCATTATAGTGAATTTTTGTTCCATATCTGGCAGCCAAATCCTTAAAGGCGTGAGAAGAAAACTGAACACCATTATCGCATGCTTTTATTTGTGGGGATCCAAATACTAAGAATACCTGTTCTTCTATAAACCTCACAATGGTGGAAGCTGTCGCAGCTCTCATTGGGTGTATCAGGCAATACTTAGTGAAGTAATCAGAGACGACTAGAATAAAAGAATGTTCATTTCGCGTTCTTGGCAAGGGACCTAAAATATCTACGGATACATATTGCCAGGGAAAATTAACTTGTTTTGGATAGCCCATGAATCCGGGGCGAGCTNTAAATAGTGGAGTCATCAGAGACGACTACAATAAAATAATGTCCATTTAGCGTTCCTGGTATATCCACGGATATATATTGCCAGGGAAAATTAACTTGTTTTAAACAGATTTTTATAGATACCTAAATGAGCAGCAGTGGGTAACTCATGCATTTCTCTGAAGACTGGCTGCCTTTGTCCTTTTGAAACGATCAACTTCCATTCACTGAAATTAGTCCACTGGTCAAATGTATAAGGAACATATTTATAAAGCAATCCATCCATAATTTTCCAATCTGGGTATCTCGCTAGGTGGTTTGTTATATTGTCCCTCATACTGGAGTACCAATTATCTTCTTCGATTTTGTTCTTCTGGATTTCCAAAATACATACTTCAACAGGAGCTCGCGAAAATTCATCAGGAACTACATTCTAGAAACTTTTTCTGTGAACTATTTCCATATCATATTGACTGAGTTGCATCGCCCACCTAGCCAGTCGTCCAGTAGAGTTTTTCAGGTTGCTAGCCATAGAAGTGAACTATGGTCTGTTGAAACTGAGAAGCGAACAACATCTACGAATGGTCGAAACTTCTCCACTCCGAATAAGAGAGCACAACACTCTTTTTCCGTGACTGTAAACTTTTTTTCTGGTTCTATAAAGGACCTAGATGCATATGACACATTTTCTTCTTCTCCATTTCTTCCACATTTCCTTCCACATTTTCTTTTCTCCATTTCTTTCCGTCCGTTCCGTAGAGCCCCTAGGCCTACATCCAAAGCATTACATTGAATAAAATGCGGCTTCTTGAAATCTGGAGCTGCTAAAATGGGAGCAGAAACTAGAGCTTGTTTGAGTTCACGAAGCGCTTGATCAGTTTCATTGGTCCATGTTATTTTTTGAGATTTTTTTCCTACCTTTGAGAATGACATTCATAGGAGCCGTAACAGTTGAATGATTCTTCACGAACCTCCTATACTACACATCCCGATGAACCTTTTGACTTCAGTAACTGTTTTTGGTATCGGATAATTCAGCATCGCCTTGACATTGTCAGGATCTGTTCTCAACTCGGGTGTTGCGATGATGACGTCATCCAAATAGATGAATACATGAAGATCTAGCTCAACACCTAATACAGAATCCATCAGTCGAACCGTTTCAGCAGCGTTACAGAGTCTGAAAGGCATAACGGTAAATTCAAAAAGATCACGTCCCGGTACACAAACGCTGTTTTTTCTGAACTTGGATCCAACGGAATCTGCCAAAAAGCAGATATCAAATCAACACTACTCAAAAATTTGAACCCAGATAACTTATTTAGTATATGATCTACGATAGGGAGAGGGTATGCACAATTTTTGTCACAGAATTCAAGCAGAATCGCAACATAATCGAGGTGTTGTCAAGTACTTCATTCAACTCGTCCAATTCATACGGCGACATAAGATGGTACCTTTGTTTAATTGGTTCAGCGTCACCTGTATCGATTTTATGGGTACATCTGTTAGTTCTGCCAGGTTTGGCAAGCGACAAAGTACGGAATTCAGCTACTAAATTATTCAACTTTTCAGTTTCGTTCTTGTTTTATCACAAATTCGATTCAACGTAGACAAAAACATATCATCATCAACCGAACAGAATTTTTATTATCTGGACAATATTGTCTAATCGTATGGTAATATCGACATATATCCCTCAAAAGGATGCGCTGCGCCATCAGCTGTACTGATAGTTTCATCTATACAGTCCTTCAATTCAAGGCCAAAGAGCTTCAGTATGTGCATTTCGTCACGACCAATGACTGAATGACTTGCACCTGTATCCAAAAGAGCAACTACTGACCTGTCAAACATGTGTACCAAAACATAAGGTCGATTATCGTTCTGTTTCTCAACAAACAAAATGTTAACTTTCATTAGCTTCTTAATGATTATTAGAACTATCCCTCTTGAATGAATGATAAAAGTTATAAAGACATTCATACCATTCTTTCCACCCAGCTGAAGACAACTTTCGGACCTCTTGAGAGCAATGATTCATGGAGGGAGTATGGTCCGAGGGACAACCTCCATTCATCATTTTTTGAACATCGTGAACAGTTGGGTCTGATAACACCTTCCATACCACAACCATAACAAATTAATTTTCACTTTCTTCACAATTATTCTGAACCTGCATTTTTGCAATCCTTTTTACGATAACCTACACCATTACATATATGATGAAATCGGCCGATACTTGATGAAAAGCCAAAACTAATGTAATCTAAAAACACTTTATTGTGACATTTTCACTAAACAATTTTACAAAAACGCAACACGTGTTTTGCCATACAATGGCTTCTTCGGGCGTCTCTTCACTGTGAAGACACGAGGAATGGAGAATCAAACAAAATAAATGCAGAAATATAAATAATCGGATGTGTCGAATTTTTCTATGTAATTAACAATGATTTCTTTGTATGCATCACTACATGACAATTCATAAATAAAGGAATCAGTATCGGTGTAGATCACCTTACATTTTTCCACATCCAAAGTGTGTACCATAAAGTCATAATGAAATTTGAACATACAAGTTTTTGTGCCATCCCCACACACATTGCCTATTGAATACAAGTTCAGCTTTTTTCAATTCAATTGTCATCAAGTCTGTATCGAAAACTGTACGATTATGAAATCGAGAGCTGAGATTTTTGGCACCATATCTGCCTTCGTAAGCAGACACTAATTTTATTATTCTGTGCAACCGGATGTTTTCCACTGTTTTCCCAAAGATCGCATCATTGGCCAACTTGAACTGTTTATTTCCGAAAGACGTATTGGCTGCAGTCCCCAATCGAGTATTCAACACGATGTAGGGTCGCAGCCATGTAGACTGTTTGCCATTTCAAGACTTCATGGATTTTCGTTAATTTTAATCCATGCTCGAGAGCCTGTTTTGAATTTCTATAGTGTAAAGTATATTCTATTTTATTATGAAGGGTAGGCATTAATTTTTTCAATTTTGGGTTTGGTGGTGCTCGATGTTTTGGACAAAATAGAAAATCTTTGTGTAAATCGTGAAGCTCCTCAGAGTACTCCAAATCAACTGGTAAAATATAACCTTCAGAATTGTCATCGGGAGTACGAGATACATCAATGTTTGTATCTACCCATTTCGACATTGTCCATCCATATAAATTATTGACGTCGAAATAGATTAATAATTTGGATTTTTGCTACATCCCCTATAATGAAATGACTCTCATATCCGGAAAGATTATGGAATGTTATGGTACGATAGAAAGCTTCTTGAACGATAAGTAGCAAGCCTGATGACTTCTTCCTCGAAACGCTCCCGTGAAATGGTCATGGTCCCTGACGATGACGTCTTGGTTTGAAAAAGGTTTTTCGCAAATATGGCACATATTACACGACTAGTAATTTCATCGGTGAACCATTGTATGCAATCTTCACCTCGATGACTGTCGTCCTAGGAACACTTTAACGATTTATATTTTTGAAATTTTCCACATTTGTCTGAAATCTTTTTCTCATAATTTTCGAGAGCTGATTCAAAATCTGCATACAACACGAATGGACATTTTTGTTAATATACATAATTTCGAAATTCAACATAATCAATATGTGTATTCAATTTTTGTTTGGTATGAAAATGAATAATGCATCGATCACAGAAAAACTTTGGTCCGTTATAATTACTCATTGATTTTGAAAATATTCTCGACATATTTTTAATATAGCAATAGTGGTACTTGATATCACGATCATCTGTATCTTTAGGTGGAGCGTCATACTCATTCAATTTGGAAAAATATACATTTCGAACCAAAAGTAAATTAACGTGTTTGTTGATTTATTTCTGGTCAATCCTCCAGTAACTACTTTGTAAAATGTTTTTTAGCAACATTCATTTCTATAGTATAGATATTAACAGAAATATCAATCTGTTTCTCAAATTTTGTAATGCAGTGAATTGGCATTGAAATTTCCTAACCCTTGATTTTCAAAACCATATTATAATTTGGATATAAAGATGCACGTGTAACGTTTCCTTCAGGAGGGTACAAAGCACTTACGATTGCTCTGAAGAAACACGCATCATCTTGATTATATCAAGATTCACACATGCATTCCGATTTGCAATTTCACTGGGTAGCCGTATGAATAATGAATCGTTGCCAATTTCATATTTATTTATTGCTACCTTAAGCAAAAGAATTTTACTCAATGCCCAACCAGAGTCTCGTTTCTGAAATTCATCGAGTTTATTAAAAATAACATCCACAACACGCTCATTGTATCAAGTACCCAAATCCGTACCATGTGCAAAATGCTTGAAAAAATAATCAATGCAAGATTGATCTACTTCTTAGAACAGAATAATCTTGTGATTCCTGAACGAAGCGGTTTCCGAAAGTACAAATCCACTCTAGACAATCTTGTGAATCTAAAAACAGACATCAAGGAGGCATTTGCGAATAAGCAAAACCCAATAGCAGTCTTTTTCGATCTAGAAAAAGCGTATGAGCGGGTATGGAAATATAAAGTGCTTAAACAACTGGAAAATTGATGGAAACATCTTGGCATTCATACAAAATTTTCTGGGAAACAGAACCTTCAGAGTGAGAGCTAATGGAGTACTCTCTGACCTCAAGACACAAATGGTATTCCACAAGGTTCATCGCTAAGTGCCACCCTTTTTCTGGTTGCCATAAACGATATCCTGGAAAATATTGTAGCTCCAATTGAAGCTATCATTTATGCTGACGACTTAGTTTTATACACGAATGGCAAAAATATGCAATCATCAACCAAACTCCTCCAACATGCTATAAGACATCTCGAAGAATGGTCCAAGCGAACAGGACTTCAATTCTCTGCCGAAAAAACTAAATGCATGGTATTCACTCAAAATTCCAATGTGCAGAATCCATCCTTAAGCTTGTACAATCAACAACTGGAATTCATTGATCACATGAAATTTCTCGGACTCATCTTCGATAAAAAACTTCTATGGAAAAAACATATAGAGAAACTCAAACAGTGATCCCAAATGGTCTTAACCTACTAAAACACTAGCTACCCATTCTTGGGGTGCAGACTACTCAACCCTGATGCACCTGTATAAAGCAACAGTGAGATCAAGATTAGACTACGGAGGTATAGTGTACTCAAGTGCCAGAGAAGCAATTCTGGAACTATTAGATAGCGTTCATCATGCTCGTATAAGAATAGCATATGCAGCATTTCGGACTAGTCCAGTGGAGAGCTTGTACGTTGAATCAGGAGAACTCCCATGACAACTAAGAAGAAACTACCTCAGTATGACCTATGCTTCAAGAATTTAATCCAATCCTAAAATCCTACCCATAGTCGCATTTCTCCTAAGCATATAAATGAAATATACCAACAAAAGACTCACATTATGCCGCCCATATATACCCGCATCCGCAGAATACCTGTCACTATCAACCTTTCATCTACCTATCCCATTTCCCTAAATACTCCTCCTCCATGGTTAATCGATATTCCATCCTGTAACACATAACTGCTTATATTCCCGAAAGATGAAACTCCTGCTGCACTGATCCGAAAATCTTTCCAGGCCATTTGTTCTAAGTTCTTTAACTTACACATCACATCTATACCGATGCTTCTAAAACAGAAAAAGGTGTGGGAGCAGCCGTATTCAGCAAACATGAGAGTAAAAGTTACAAACTACCTAGCGTCAGAAGTATTTATACTGGAGAGGTTTATGCCATCGCACAAGTATACATGCGAGACAAGTAAATGAAAACTGTAATATTCACATAATCATTGAGTGCAATAGAGAGAATCCGCCAATTATATCCTAAACATCCTCTCCTACAACAAATTAAGATCGAGCTTTTCAAACTTCACCAAGAAGGAAAAAGAGTCGAGATAATCTGGATACCTTCACACATTGGGAAATGTGAAAGCCGACATGCTGGCACGTAACGCCCTCTCAAACACTAGTGCAGTGACAATTGAAAAAACACTACACACAGATATATATCGTCAGATAAAAACTTCCATGAACGCTATCTGAAAGCAGAAATGTCAATCTTCAACTACCAATAAACTATACAAAGTAAATCCCAACATGGAAATAAAGAATTATGCTGCCCTTAGTCGAAAAAATCAAATAACCATAAGTCTCCTAAGAATTGGACACACTCGTCTCACTCACTAACATTTACTAAAAAAGGAAGCTCGAAGTGAATGTGAAAATTGCAACATGGACCTAACAGTGGAACACCTATTCACATGTTAACAGCACCAACAAGAGATAAACGAATTGAAGCTAACCGGAGACATTTCCACCATTCTTAATGGAGAATGAAATAATGTAATGAAATATGTCAAACGAATCCATATATTTAATTCAATTTAATGTATACCGATATGAACTGTATCTCATATGTACCGCCGCTAATAACCCTATGTGGTTGATGCGGTTTGAAATCTAAATTAAAAAAAATTCTATCAATAATTTCCCCGTCATTCGACGTTTTGATGAAATCCCCCAACAGTGTCAAGTTCACTTTGAGGCATTGCAAATCCTTTAAAATCTTGAAAATGAAATATTCATTACTCAAAAATTTTCTTACTTCTTTGTGAGCTAAATTTATTACAACACCTGTTCTCAGTCTATTCTTGAAAAGAGCAATCATATTTTTCCATTTAACTCTACTGCTGCGTTTCAAACCTGATCCAATATATTTATCATTCTTCATAACTTTTATTATGCATGTAATGCGTTTCAATTCCCCAATTTCACTTATAATTTTCTTTTTTCCTCCCACTGAGAATACAATTTTTTCATCGCCAAGTCACATTTTCTGATATGTTTATCGACCAAATTTAACGATGTTCGTGCAATGGAACTTGAATAATTTTGTTTGATTACGTCTAGCAATTCATCAATTTTTGATAAAGTTTTTGAAAACATCATTTTTAACCCACAAGTTTTTCTTGCGGCAAATGGATGCTTGCTGAACGCTCCAAACGGAAACTTGAAGTAGTCCGATAGATGGGCTGAACAAACTGCAGAGGAACTACTCGCAAAAGCAACCTTGATGAAGTCACGAACGCAGATGATTTTCGAAAGGAAAGTTCGAACAAAAATGTTTCTGTTGCGCCGAGGAGTAGGGTATATAACTATCTGGGAATGAAAAGAAAAAAATTAATTTCAAACAATTTTTCACTACATACAAAGAAAAAAACAACAATACTAACCTCAATTTTCTAAAACTTCGAACGATGTAGCAGAGTTGGTTTTGCCGACGTCAATTAAACCTTTGAAAACAAAGGCGTATTTTCCTCCTTGGAAATGTGAAATGAATGGATCATATGTTGCGGTAACCCTCTCGGTAAAAACACGATATTTTTCTATAGATCTATTAGTACTGTCTTCCAAAATTTAGTGAATACTATTTTGGCTGAAGAAATTCAATGTGGCACTCCTAACTGAAGATGTTGCAAATTCACAATGGGTTTTTCCTCTACAACGGAGATAACTTTAATTTAATTAAAATCCATCTACAACAAAAAAAGCTCATACTACAAATGATATTTCGTATTTCTCATTGAAATAAAATAAAATTTTTGTTTACACAATCACTAAAGTAGGTACACAATTTCGAGCAAAAATTTTGAAAACTCTTTAAAAATCATCACATTTGCAAAAACATCTTGGAAAACGGAATATTTCGTATTTCGAATCGAAAAATGTAATTCATTGTTCACATAAACGAGAGCGCAAAATTTATTTTGAAAACTTTCCGTTCGAGCACTCTGTCTTGAACATCTTTCTTCAATAATTCAGCACTTTTGCCAAACTCTCCAACTTTCCGGTTGTATCCTTCAAATGACATTTAATTACTGACTATTTCTTCTGCTCAATGACCTTATTATACTTTCAAACAGTAATAATACCCACCTCCATAATTTCGCGTGTTTTCTATGACGTCTTCCACCCCCCATCAAATATTTGACAACACTGCACGCTCTGAAGTTCCAAAGGAAGCCCATTCAACTGCAGTCTACATAATATTGATATTTTGTATAAAATTACATGCTAAATAACTATGCTCTTCATTTTCATGTTCTCCAGTAAAAATTATGAGGTTAGAGGACACACATCTCCCTTCTATATTCACTAATAACAAAGTAAGCCTTCTATGCCTTTTACACTTCTGAAAATGCTTGAATATGTTTCTTGGCATCGAGATGAATCCATTGATGTCGAAATTATCGAAATCGGACAACCGGAAGTGAAAACTGGAAATGGTCATTTTATTGTAGATTCGGACCGTCCTCGATATGGGCAATCCGAATTCACCATCAGTATTCTTTTATACCAATTTTTATAAACCGAAAGTGTTTATTTTTCGATGAATCGTAAAGATCCGAAACTTTCTTAATTCATATATTGGTCACCATCATCGTTACGTTACGTTAACAGGCATGTTTTTCCCTTCAACGCTGCACACAACATGTATACTGCGATGGCAGACATGTGTTTTTCTCTAACGTTGGCAGCCATGTTTTTTTCTTCAGCGCTACACACCCTGTATATCTCTATGGCAACTTTTCTTTAACGCTGCACACAACATGCCTACCGCGATGTCTGTCATGTTTTTTTCTTTAAAGCAGGCAGTCATGTTTTTTTTTGAAGATACACACCCTGTACAACATTCGATCATTGTGTTTTGAAACGACACCCTATATACCCAATATCATTAATCTCATAAGCACATTCGAATCGTTATCTCCCAATCAGCGATAACGCCACCGCTAATTGAGTCTAATACATGAACAAACACTGATAAGCCACTTCCGTCTTGGATCTATTACTGTTCATTTACTTTTTATACCCACTCCAATCAGTAGATTTTGAGTCGCAATATTCCACTACTGGTACTGGTTCAATATTGAAAATAATATATCTATGGTCTGAACAAGAAGGTTCAGTAGATACAGACCAATGGTGTATCTTGTTGCTCAGAGAATGTGAATTGATGGTTAAGTGACAACAGTTGGTTTCGAGCCCTCATTGATTACAGGCAACTCTTTCCCTAGTATATAATCAAAGAGTAACTCACCTCTATGGTTTACATTCGTGCTGCCCCACGCTGTATGGTGCGAATTGGCGTCACATTCCATTACGATTTGAAGTCTAACAGATAGATCCGCCTACTTTCCGCCTACGGAAAGTAGGCGGAGCAAACGATAATATTCGTCTTACCCTTCTTGTCTGATAGGGAAAATTTGGATGGCTACTACGTCTTGGGTGCAGAAGCACGTGAGCAAAAAATAATTAATACACTTTCTGATGACCAGACATGCTATGGGTTTCATCCCAGGGCAGGCTATTACCTCAAGAGAAATATTTCCTGTCCATGGTTCCTGCAGGAAAGCAAGATCAAATAATTCGTCCTTGAAGTTTTACCAAGGACGTATGAAGCGGCCTTGGCATGTTGTAAGTTTGCCTGCAAACACTTGAAGTTGAAAAAGTGTTGCTGCTGCAAACTTAGAATTCCTCGACCCTAGGAGGTAGAAAATGGAGGATCCTTAAGGACACCTTCACCCTCCTCTCCCAGGATCCAGGGATGAGTAGGCTCAGATGATGGGGTGAGGACACCTGCCGTTTCTGAGTTGCTTGCTGATTTTTTGGATCCCTTTGACGAGACGATTTTCGTCTTTGCTTTCGAAGAGCCAAGTCCAGCCTTTTTTCCTGGTTTTCTCGATGAGACGTTAGCCGCCTACGTCTCCTGAGAACCACGTGATATCCCAGCCTTGGCATGGGCGTGAGCCGCTGATTTACCCCTATGTTTGGGTGGAGGTTTGATTGAACTCATTCCCATATGTGGATTTCCACTCGGCCCTGCTTTATTTACTCTAACTGGTACAGTAGAGTGACTCGGTTGAGTAGTTTTCTTATTCCGCCCCAAAACCCGGACGGAATAAGGAAACCTGTCCAAAACCAAAATGTGGTCTGAAACATATCCCCGCCAGCACGGACATTGATTCATCGTCAACAGCGAAGGTCCATGTTTGACCAGAGCCTGACTTTTCCTTGTGGAGAATAGTTCACTCCAAGGTTGATAGAACATGGTTCATTTTTCCCAGTCTGTGACTGCATCCGTCAGGTAGGTAAGCAACACAGATGTGTGGCTTCGAAAGTTGGTCCCCTGTGACGCATTTCAGAGAAGGACAGCTCTGAAATTGTACCTGTGGCTTATCATTTGGAATAACCTCTACAGCCGACAAAATAGTCCCCTGAAGAGATTCCAGCTGATTGGTATTTAAAGACGTAGTCGGATAATCAAGGTGCAAGATTCCCACCCTGATTCCTGAGACAACCTTCCCATATGAGGGTTTTTGCAGGTGAATTAAATTCACAAATCACTCTCTCAGTCACTCGATCAAACTTCTTCCGACTCTCTATAGAGCTTCAGATCCTTCACATGAAACTTTCCAATATTCTTCCCATTTGGTGCTAATAAATCATACACCAATTTCAACACGACTCTTTTTACAGTGCAAAAAGTATACTCAGGTGCCAATTCAGAAGCAAGGTGATCTGCTTTATTGGATAAAAGGAAAATTTTTTCCACGCTTCATCACCCACGTGGTAAACATCAGCAGGACGCTTCCGGAGGTTGTACTGCCTACTATTTTTTGTAATACACATGAAACACTGAGATTGGTTTCCAGTGCAGCCAACAAATAACAATACATAATATGAACATCAAAAATTCATAATAATTATAACTCAATACTTTTAATCAATAGGGATTGTTTAATCAACAGCTGTCGATTAAATCACAAATAGGTAAACATGAACAATATTGAAGGGAAAGCATTTACAAGTTTAAATGATCAGCAATCATTCGGTATAACAGTAATAAATAAAATGCATAACTTCTTTATTTATTTCAATAGTCCACTTGACATCGAAGGAGAAGACATGTAGGTACTCACTCTGTCTCAAGAAGTAAGTATTTACGTACTTATATATCCGGAAGTACTGAACTTCCACGAGTCTTTCTGAAATTGTAAACACGACCAGGCCGAAATTATTTAAGAAAATTGTTCTCAACTACGCTAGTTAGTGGCGTAAATTAACTATCGACGGCACTAAACTTGCTTTTTAAAAATACTTTTATTGTTACAAAACTTGAAAATAGAAATACAAAATATATGAAATTATACGTGTTGTTACTTTGAGAAATGAAATCTGACTGACTCTGGATGCGAAGCTTCGAAGATGTGTGCTCCTGCGAGAACTGTCTTGTCAGCATCTGGAATAGGGTGGTGGTACTGCTAGGTCAGCAGGATTATCCTAGGTGGTGAGATAATTCCTCCCCCCGAAGATTCAACTATCATGCACAGCGGGGTAGTTGAACAGTGGATAAATCGGTTTCTTCATTTATTACTTGTAGTTGGTTCTCTTCTTGACTTGGCTTTTTATTGGTGCAACATCGAAGTACATTTTTTCTGTAGAAGAAGTAAACTATCATTGATATGATCGTTGAGTTAACCACTAAAGTCCATATACTCGGTGATTGGTAAAGTCCGCCTTGGTTGAATGTTATTTCAGGATTGTTATCAATTAGCTGATTTTTCAGGTTTTGGAGTTCTTTCAGGTCAACATCGTCCAATTGAAAGCTCATATTTACCCTCCTTGGAGGGTTGCGATCTTGGTTCAATTCGGGAATAAATATTATTTGATTGCTATTGATTAAATTTTCTTCATTGATCATTTAGATTTGATTCGCTTTGATTTTACAGCCTACTGGAATGTCAATTGAATAGGATCCAATTATTCTTTGAACTTCCTCTTGTTCATTACATTGTAGGCGGATTGTCGTTTTATTTGGAAATATCGCTATCCATTGGGTAGAGTCCTCCAGTTGGTTAGCTGTTGGCTTAGTAATCCTAACATCAATTTGTCTACATGTGAAAGTGTCTTCCATTTTCAGGAGTTGCAGCTTACAGAGATTTCCAGAAATTTCTCTAATCGGCATTTTCTTGCAGACGTAGAATTATGGTTCGACTTTGACACAATCGTCGTTTTTGAATGTGAAGTTTTCCGAGTTCTTCAGTAAAAATGAATTTTTGAGTATGAGTGCCTTGAACTGACTTTAACTATATGTAGGGATTGAATATAAGTGATAGTAATCGAAAATGTATGGATATGTGATTGGAACATGAAGAAGAAAGGTAATTCTAATATTCAGAATAAAATATTCGATGTTTATGATTGTCTCTAATTTCAATATGTTTTCTAAAGTAATATCAATAGGAGATTGATTCTTTGCAATGATTTCGTGTAATTCAAGAAGTTCGCCGTATAAGTTGGTGGGTTTCACTATGCTTGGATGCATAATGTTGAGTTTCGTGAATGCTATGGAATTTTCAATGTCCTGTAAGGCAGAGTTGACTATTTTAAACATACCAATCATTTGGTTGGGTATATCGTGAACATATGCTCTATTTTCTTCATAAATTTTTGTTTGGAATATGGCAGCAATATGAACTATTTTTTCTTGACGACATTTTTCATTGTGAATTATTTGTTGAACAGTTTGATTGAATTTATTGATCAAATTGATTGAAACTGAATTTTGTTTCACAACACTAGAAGCCAATACTTTTTGGTTGTTTTGAAGTTCCCTAATAAGTTTTTCGTACCGCTTCCCGTCTTCTGCATCGAGGTTTCCTGGTTTGAATATCGAACCAATACCATTAATCAATCCTCTTTTGATTCGTTTGGGATATGTGATTATTTCTTGCAATTTGGATTCAGTCTTGTCTTTTGTCAAAGTCAAAATTCTGATTTAATTTTCTGTTTCAGCTGAGGAAATATTGTTTTTGTTTATACTGAGTGCTTCTAAAGTTTGTCCGTATTGGTCGTTCAGTTTTTGGATTTCAGTTATGAATGGATTCAGGTCATAGTAGTGTATCAGTGTGTGTGAGTATTGTTGAATTTTGGCATTGCCCAATTTCAAAGGTATCATACCAGGATAGTTTTCCAGGTTTTTCAATGTTATTCTGTCCGAATACGAAAGGTATTCTGAATTGTCTGTTGTATTGAATTGTCCATGTGTACTTTTTCATGATTTTCTGTGGAAACTGTCTTCATAGACAGTTCGTCTACTTTTGTGATAGTGGTCGGTTTTTGAAATTTTTTAGCGTGTTTTTGTCTCAAGTGTTTTTTCACGTACGTTTTAGAATTGGGTTTGAACATTTCTGGATTATCGCGCGTTTCATTAGATTTTGAAATATTCTTTTCTTTTCGATTCATTATTTTTCTGTTTATTTCCGCGTAAAGTAATTTAGTTTTTTCTCGGTGATCATTTGTATAGTAATTGAGAAGAATATTGTCTATGTCGATATCGAATGGATTTTCATTGGTTATATGTCCATTAACTATATCGATGGGTTTTAATTTCATTGCAGAATGTATTGAGTGATTATATGCAAGTATAGCTTAAACCATTTTCGTTTTAGGTGGTGTTTTGAGAAATCCTCTAGTATTAAGAAGTCTAATGTATTCAATGAGAGTAGAGTGAAGCCTTTCAATTTGTCCATTTGATTGGGGATGATTGGGTGAGTACAAATGTACATTTACTTTGTGCACTTTGAGAAGTTCTTCAATAACTATGTTTTAAAATTCAGATCCGTTGTCAACTATAATTTGGTTGGGTACGCCATGATGTGCAAAAAATATTGAAAGTTTATCAGCTATATCGGTAGCCGATAAAAAGGGCAAATGATATGCTTGAGCGTATTCCGAAAAACTGTCTATAATAGTAGAAATTTATTTTTTCTGAAGTATAAACGTCAATGTGGATAATTTCGAATGGTTTGGTGGCTGTCGGAGTTATAATAATTTTTGTTTTGATAGGATGTCTCTCGTATTTACTTCGTTGACAGATTTCACACTCGTTAATGAAGGTTTGGATAGAATCTTTCATATTGGGCCAATAATAAAGGGTTTTGAGTTTTTGTTCGGTCTGGTCAATGCCTCTATGATTACTTTTACCTTCGTGATATGCCTATATCAGTTCTAAAGCTTTTTTTATCTGTGACATCAATTAGTTTGATTTTATATCTTTCAAATTTTAATGAAGGCCATTTGA